GGTACCGCCGCCGACACACGCACCACACCTACGTGCCATACCTCACCACCACGCTACACTCCCACGCCTGGCGCTCTCCAACGCCACCAGAAGGTACCGCCGCCGACACACGCACCACACCTACGTGCCATACCTCACCACCACGCTACACTCCCACGCCTGGCGCTCTCCAACGCCACCAGAAGGTACCGCCGCCGACACACGCACCACACCTACGTGCCATACCTCACCACCACGCTACACTCCCACGCCTGGCGCTCTCCAACGCCACCAGAAGGTACCGCCGCCGACACACGCACCACACCTACGTGCCATACCTCACCACCACGCTACACTCCCACGCCTGGCGCTCTCCAACGCCACCAGAAGGTACCGCCGCCGACACACGCACCACACCTACGTGCCATACCTCACCACCACGCTACACTCCCACGCCTGGCGCTCTCCAACACCACCAGAAGGTACCGCCGCCGACACACGCACCACACCTACGTGCCATACCTCACCACCACGCTACACTCCCACGCCTGGCGCTCTCCAACGCCACCAGAAGGTACCGCCGCCGACACACGCACCACACGTGCCACGCGTAAGACATGCAGAATTCGATGGATGCAGGTGGCTCAGAATCGCGCTCTATGGCATTCCTTGGGGGAGACCTATATTCAGCAGTGGGCTTCAAGCAAACACTATAAGTGGTAAACTTAAAAGTTTTGTACAACCAACTTCAATACGACCGAATCAATGTATTCGAAGTCTATTAAGTATGCATTATTTAAGGATAACTCAAAAACTACTGGTCAGATCTTGATCAAATTTATATGGGACCACCATTCATTGTGACGTAACGTGCGAACAATAGTTCACGGTTTAAGCATAGAATAAATCAGTGCCATCTCTAACCACTCCGCCACTCAACTCCCGTTCGCCTCGCCCGATCACACTTTTCGTAACTCTTTCGTCACGCGTTCGCCAGCTTACTCCCCAAGTCAATCGTGCGTAAAGAAGTTTTACTTCAAAAAACTGGATGTACGGAATTCTGTAGAGGACTTGGACATTATATAATATGTGTATGTGCGTGTACAGGCGGACGACGCGGCGCGCAAGCATCACCTTTCGCAGAAGAAGATGCTGGAGATCAACCCACGGCATCCGATCGTCCTGGAGCTGCTGCGGCGCGTGCAGGCGGACCCAGACGAGCCGCAGCTGCTGCGCGCCGCGCTCACGCTGCACCGCTCCGCAGCGCTGCGTTCCGGCTACATGCTGCAGGTACACACCACCACCAGCACCAGCAGCCGTGCTGCTATTTTGACGGGCTTTCACCGGCAGATATGTGATGTTATGAGAGTGAATTAGCTACTTTTATTTTAGAAAATTAAAACTCATGCTATCATATTCAATTCCACGTGGACGAACACGAAGGAATATTTTGGTAAAAGTAAAGACTGACATTGGATTGGTCCGCAGGAGGGGCAAGCTGTGGAGTTCGCGGAGACTGTGGAGGACATGCTGCAGCAGGCGCTGGGCCTGCCGCCCGACGCGCGTCCCGACGAGGACGAGCTGGACGCCGACGCGGAGGCCGACGCTGATGCCGAGGCCGAGGCCGACGCCGACGCCGAAGTGCCCGCCGACGACCACGACGAACTGTAGAGGCCCACTTGACGCCTGTCGTTCTTGCATTTATATTTATAGTTTTATTTCCACATAGCAATGGTCAGGCGGATGAGAAACCTGATTGTTCGATACACAGACCACGTCCAGCCGACCGAGCCAACTCGATGACTGCGGAGCGAACGATACCGTAAAGCTATTTGCACGAGACAGTCGCACTCCACCCATTTGTCTCATGAGGGCCATCCGCCACTTTTTCTGCTACCAGGGCGGCGTCATTTGGGAATGAGGTGAAAATTCGACAGATTTCATATTTGTTAAAAATAGTTTAGAGATTAATGTTTATTTCTGAAACATTAGATATATTTTATATTATTTAGATTAGAAATGGATAAACCATACCAATACCATGAATATTTATAAAAGAATTGAAAAGAGAGTTTATAAATGTGCAAACAATTCAACAGCAAACCACAACAGGAGCATTGTATTGTTTTATATATTTATCTGATGATTTATGAGATCCGATGAACTTTCATTATAAAGGTAATTTCTCAATTTGACTGATATTGTGTAACAAATAACTCACCTCAGTCCCGGCTGGCGAGCGACATCTAGTGAGCGGAAGATCACGTTGGCCCCCACCGGCTCCATCGACTCATTTATATAAATTGAAATTCTTGGACAATTCGTTGGCTTACATTCGCACATCCGCCGAACCGTGGTCGTGCCGTCTACAAACTACGTGGCGTTAAGTCACTTAGAAACTGATTAAGACTGTCTATTTTTTATATTTGGTGTAAGTGTTCGTGCATGATGATTTGTGGAGTGTTATGATGTAAATAAACGATATTTATTAATGAAAATGCTTTCATTTCTATGCCATAATAAAAAAGTTTCAGCCTAATGTTTCCCACTTGTGGGCACCGGCCTCTCATTCGTGTTAGTTTTAGAGCTAAGAAAAGTCCACCACTCTGCCCCTGTGCGTGTTGGTGGACTTATATGCCATTCTAGATTTAATAAAATATTTCGCATAAATATTCTAAACTTTTATTACCAATATTTAACGCACATTATATTATTAATAAATAGAGAAAAAAAGCATATTGAGAATACTCTTTTCTCACGATTACTGTAGACAATAGATTTCAATCATAGGTATATAAAAAGAACCAGTGACCATTTGAATTCACTCTTTAAAATATTTAAAAGAGATAGGTGGAAAATAATTTGATGAATAAGCAGATGCTTCAAAAACACAAACTGCCCTCGATTGATAACCAAGACTGACCTGGGAAGAATCAGCAAGAAACCCAGGTTGTACAAACTATTACAGAACTTATTCTGCAAACCGCAATACACACTTAATTTTATATGTGGTACAGCCACGCTGCACCCATATTATGGTTGTACCATGAATGGATCGGCTCGACCGGGAAAGGACCACACTTTCATAGAACAGCAGCTTAAACTGCTATGCTTCGTATGGTGAGCGTAGAGAACCGGAGACCCTTTTTATTGGAAACGAGGCCTTCCATTTTAGTCCTCACGGGTGACAACGCATCTGCATTTTGATTCGTAATCTAGGATAAATGTTAAATGTTTGTAGAAAAGATGTCTATGGGCCACAGCAACCACTTACCATCAGGTGGACTGTGTGCTCGTTTGTCACCCTATCCTATAAAATAATTACATAATGTTAACCTTACCATGGGTGCTTGTAACCTTTTTAAATATTTTTGGTGGGACTGGGACCAGTACTATTGGGCGATAAATATGACAGTTTTGTCTCTGTTTTTACACAAAGACTTCAAAATTGTAATTGAATTTGTCTGAAAATGAAATATTAGCCAGGAATACGTATAAATGTTTTAGTTCATATAAAAGCTACTACTGGGCTGCACTAAAAGTATCGGGAATGGAATATTTCCACTGTTTCTGTCATGTTAAAATCTTTTTAATTGAAAACTCCTTGGTTTTAAAAATCGAATACCATTTATTTATTTAAAAAAAGATTCTCGGTCTTGTCACAAGGTTTTGACTCGAGAAAATTCAAGAGCGATGATTTATTATGACTTTCGAAGTGGTTTAACACAAAAACAGTGTGTTGACCGGATGATTTATGCATTTGGTGATGAAGCCCCATCCAAAACCACAATTTATCGCTGGTTTGCTGAATTTCAACGTGGACGTGTCAAGCTCAGTGATGATCCCCGTCAAGGTCGTCCAAAAACTGCATTCACTCAAGAAAACGTTGATGCTGTGCGTAAGCTAATTGAGGAAGATCGACATGCGACATACCGCGAAATTCAGGCAACTTTATACATTCGCATGAGTCAAATACAAATAATCTTGCATGAACAATTAGGTGTAAAAAAGTTGTTTTCCCGATGGATACCGCATTCGCTCTGTGAAGAGCAAAAAGCAGCTCGCGTTACTTGGTGCGTCAGAACTCTCGAAAGATCCTCAAATGGATCCTCAAATACTGTATACATCGTATCAGGTGACGAATCCTGGATATAAACGTACGAAACCGAAACAAAAAACCAGTGTTTGTGTTTTTTTGGGGTGGGGGGTGGGGAAGGAGGATTTTTTATATTGGTTTTGAATTTTGGGGGGGGGTTGTGCACGAGTTTGGGTGTTCGAAAATGAGTTAAAGCCAACAAAAATTGTTCGTTCACGGAGTGTTGCAAAAAAAATGGTGGCCACGTTTGTCTCCAAAACCGGCCATGTTACGACTATTCCTCTTGAGGGACAAAGAACGGTTAATGCAGAATGGTATGCTAGCATTTGTTTGCCACAGGTCGTTTCGGAACTCCGTAAAGAGAACTGCAACCGCCGCATCATCCTCCATCACGACAGTGCGAGTTCTCACCGCACACAGTACAAAAGAGTTTTTAGAGCAAGAAAATATAGATTTATTAGACCATCCGCCGTACAGCCCCGACCTAAGCTCCAATGATTTCTATACTTTCCCTAAAATAAAGAATAAATTGCGTGGACAGATTCATCACCTGAAGAAGCTGTGGACGCATACAAAACGGCCATTTTGGAGACCCCAACTTCCGAATGGAATGGTTGCTTCAATGATTGGTTCCATCGTATGGAAAAATGTGTCAAATTTCACGGAGAATACTTCGAAAATCAATAAATACATTTTTAAATAGTAATGTTGTGTCACTTACTTGATTCCCGAAATTTTCAGTGCCGCCCTCTTACTAGCCGTACTATTTTCTCCGTTACTCCTGTCACTTTCATTTAACTAAACAAAAGGATCACACGTACCTTGCAAGGTACGTGTACTGGAACGATGGTACACCGACTGATCGAGTAGGTTAGGTGAAATTCATGTAATTCAAAAATAATTATTTGAATGGTACATAACAACCACGTAGCTTAGATAAGGAAGGTAATAATAAATAGACTACTGAAATAAAACCTAATAAATCTAAAATGCATATACAGGTTGTCCCAGAAGTCGACGTCAAGGCGAAACTTTCTGATAGGCGAGGCCATACTAGTTACCAGAAAAATATAAAAAAATCTAAGTTATGTATTTCAGAAATTATAGTAATTTTTTTCGATAAAATACACTATGAGACAGTTTTTTCAATCCTGTTGCTACAAATATTTACTTTTTGCCAATTTTTTTTCTCTTACGTCATCCTGAGTAGTGCTTCTGTAACCTATAATCCTAAACCCTGTGCCGATCACTCCAGCTTGAAAGAAAATGTAATTTTATACCGAACCAAGTTTTCAGAATTAGTTTTTCTCACTAATTCAACTGACCGTCTTGGGAAAAAATTGTACTACGCCAGTTTGACAAGTAGCTTTAAAAGTTAGCGCATTTAATAAGGATTCTAACGTGGTATAACACTTACTCCATTATTTAGATCAGCCATAAAATTTTTTTTGTTAAACAAAGTCAGTTTTTAACAATTTTTTAGGACTTACATTAAAACGATTCTAGTGCAACCAAAGCGTTCCTAATGACCACACCGTGGTTTAAATGAGATAGAGAGAGAGACATTCCATAAAGTATTGCTATATATATATATATATATATATATATATATATATATATATATATTGCTTATTATATAGTTGAGCGAGACAGATAGTGACGCTTATGAGACACAGACGCAAATACAAAATAAAGTAATAAAATAATGGTTATAAAATTAAGACAGTTTCGTTTTTATGATAACATTTTTTACTTATTTTACAAAAGATGTTCAAATTGCCGTCCTTGAGCTGCAATACAAGCCCGACATCTTCTTAAAAAAGATCGTGAAATCAGGCGGGCGAATCTTCCATTATTACAAAATTCAACTGCTTCCGCTATTCTCTGTCTAAGCTCTTCTACATTTTCAATCGGCTTGGAATATACTTTTTCCTTCACTGCACTCCAATAAAAAAATCTAGAGGATTTAAATCGGGTGAGCGGGCGGGCCACGAGATCGGACCAGCCCGCCCTATCCATCTGTCCGGATATTCCTCGTTAAGGTGTTCTCGAACTAAGCGGCTATAATGCGCTGGACAACCATCTTGTTGGAACCACATATCTCTGAAAATAATAAGCGGCACGTCCTCCAGAAAATTGGATAAATGATTTTGTAAAAAATCTAAATACATTTCAGCATTTAAAACTTCTGGCAACTCGAAAAGCCCTGTGACTTTTCCGTTTAAAATTCCAGTCCACGTGTTTATTTTGAAACGGAACTGCGATCTATCTTGTCTCATTAATCGTGGATTTTCGACGTGCCATTCGTGTAATCTATACGAATGGCACGTCGAAAATCCATCCAATCCATGAAGATTCTTTTTTAAAGGTTGATTCATCCGAACACAAAAAAAATTCTAAGAATTGTGGGTATTCTCGGTGTTTTTGAATCATGGTTTGGCAAAACGCAACTCTAGGTTCATGATCCCGAGGTAATAACGTTTGTACTCGCTGAACATGATAAGGGTGGAGCTCATTTTTTTGTAATATTCGGTGAGCTATACTTTTGGGCACACCTGTGCTGGCCTCAATTCCACGTACCGAACAATTTGGGTCCTCATCAACTGTTTGAAGGACTAATTCCTCGCAAGGTAATGAAATTCTACCTTCACCATGCATTTGGTTTGGCAGTCGGCCATCAGAGAAGAGTAGACGGTGCACATTGGTTAAAACTCTGTGATCTGAATAGCGATCAGCATTAGGGTATCTCTCGCAATACCGTCTAGTGGCTTCACTGGCATTACACTGGCATTCCCTATAAATGAGGTGCATGTTGGCATATTCCTGTGTGGTGTACACAGCCATGGTATGGTACAAATACACAATAACACGTTAGTCCAGGGAAAAGCAAAGGCCGTCGTAAAGAGATCACAAATGTCCAAATCCAAATCCAAATCACACGCAAACAAGTCCAGTAAACGAAGCCGAAGTAGTAAGAACACAAGATATCACCAGCGAATACGAAAAGATGCGTAGTAAACGAAGTAGCGTTGCGTACTGATTTCACAGAGTACTTGACTGATTTGTAGTGCGTGTACACACACTACAAATCAGTAGTCCACACTTAGCATGGCTCTCTGTCTTGTTCACTCAGTTTTTGTTGGTTTAAAATATTTTTGTTATGGGAATTTGACCTTTGCGTCTGTGTCTCATTAGCGTCACTATCTGTCTCGCTCACACTTTATGGAATGTCTCTCTCTATCTCATTTAAACCACGCTGTGGTCATTACGAACGCTTTGGTTGCACTAGTATTGTTTTAATGTAAGTTCCAAAAAATTGCTAAACACTGAGTTTGTTTAATAAAAAATTTTTTATGACTGATCTAAGAAATAATGTAGTAAGTGTTATACCACGTTTTTATATTTTTCTGGTAACTAGTATGGCCTCGCCTATCAGAAAGTTTTACCTTGACGTCGACTTCTGGGACACCCGATATAATGTCACGTTTATGTTCCAAGTAGATATCCAACGTTATGAAGGTGACACAAGTCTCTATGATTTTTCATTGTTACTTTTTGTAACCGGAACTACGGTTAGGCATAGTTTAAAGACCTTCAGTTGTGAAACGCCTTTGAAGTCAAGCGATGCAGCCGATGAAGGTATTCCGGGTTTAATAACGACATCGGGACGTCAGTCATCTCAGTCCCCCGTGACTGTGACCATGGGTGCTGGAAAGCACCCGAAATGTCGGGAATTAAAAATAATTAAAATTAAACGCGACAAAATCTGTAAAAATAGTTTTAATCAATAGTGTATTTCGAATTGAAAGCAAACAGCCAAGTGTTGACGCTGCATATATGCTACGAGGTCATGACCTGTCTAGAACAGAGAAGCGCGCGGGAAATGTGAAATAATTTGAAACAGTTTACGAGTTATTTTATTAGTTATTATTGATTAAGCAGTTTGATAGGGCAAGCTCGGCTCCTGGATTTCTACAGAGGCTTCGCCACCGATTATTGATTTGATTTTACCATGTTTCCAAGAGATCTTATGGACGACACCCACGGTCAGTTTAACTGATCAGTTCAAACTAGGATTGTTGATATTTTTTTTTAAATATCGAACTTTCGATATGTTGATAAATAAACTTATATCGTCATCCTAGATGTGACACCTCGTAACTGAAAATTTGACTGTTTCTAGTTTGTGATGCAGAATTATCTACAAAGCAAGTCCGCAACGTTCTGGTTATAATTCGTAAATGTTTATTTTACGAAAAAATCGACTCCTAGTTATTTTAAACCATAACCTGGCAATGTTTCTTAGAAAAAAAAAAGAAATCACTCTGAACTTTCGGCGTTCCACGTGTCGCTTTGATGAAGGTGCTCTACTCTTTTTTATAGAATTTTATATTTGTGTCTGGACTAAAAACGAAAGTATTATACTTTTTTATATTCCTTGTAATATAGTAAACACGTAGATATATAATTTGTGGTATAAAAAGTGAAAAATAAATTGGCAAAAGTACTTCGAAATCCGGAAGGCCCATTTTGGCGGTTGGGCCAAAAATGTGTTATTTTTCCAATTCTCGTTTATTTTTAGTGTAAAATGTAAGTAAAAATAGTTTTCTTACATATTTCAAATAACTTGACGTTGTATTTATTTCAAATTCACACAAAAATATTTTTGAAATATTGTTCGAATACAGATAAATATTATTTTTTTTTTAATTTTTTAATATTTTGGTATGAGTAACGAATGGAAACACATAAAACATAAAAATATACATATTTCCAAACATTTTCATATAAATTTCTCCAAAAACAAAAGTGTAGAATTCAAATTAGTAGTAATTTTGTCACTAAAAGTGAAGTATATACTACTACTATGCTATAAAGGGTAATTTATGAATTTTATTACAATTTCTAGCAACCAAAAATAATTTTATTCGATAGTTTATACATTCAACAAGAATTCCTGTAAGTTTTATCCATAAATATTGTCTCAAAGTGAAAATATAGCAAAATTTGCAATATAGTATAATAACTTGTAAATTTTCCCGCCATTAAGGTCCCGAGGGAATGGGAGTATAACATGTCGCAAGCTGTCAGAGCTTACAGGTTAATGATTTAAATTGTATTATACTATTTTAATTTCATGCTTAGGTTAAAAAAGTTTATTGTTTTCCAGTAATAAAATAAGAAAATTGTAGTGTTTAAGTAGTTACGAGGTATCAATTCTTAACGATATAAACAGTTAAGTATTTTGATTAAAACTACTTTTACGAATTTTATCGCGTTTTATTTATATTAATTTTAATACCCGACGTTTCGGGTGCTTTTAACCCGGAGTACCTTCAGCTTTTTAATTATTGTCTTTGGTCCGATCTACGCAGAATGAACTAACTGTATTTTGAAGTCTTGCAGTGGTATGCTTGGGTTTAGTTTTAATTTTATTAATTATAGGATCCCAAGCAGGTGGTAGTACCCAGCCTCCTTCTCTATTGAAATTAGGATGATTTTTAATTTCAATAGCCTCACGTATCATCCTTGGTAGGAATCGATGTTCTTTCGCGAGGATTAGTGGTCTATCAAATCTGATGTAATGGTTGGGGCCATCTAGAATATGATCGCAAACTGCAGACTTCCCGGAACGTTGACCAAAGACAATAATTAACGGACCAAAGACAATAATTAAAAAGCTGAAGGTACTCCGGGTTAACTTTGACATCGGGACGTCAGTCACCTCAGTCCCCCGTGACCATGGGTGCTGGAAAGCACCCGAAACGTCGAGTATTAAAATTAATATAAATAAAACGCGATAAAATCCGTAAAAGTAGTTTTAATCAATGTATAGTGTTCGCGTAAATATAAGAAATCATCAGTTAAGTATTGCTGTTTAACATATTAATATGCAGATACGTGTTAATCACGTCGAAAATGTCGAGTAACTTTTAAAGTTTTAGATTTTAAAGATTAATTAACTGACAAAATAATTTAAACGCATTTGAACAAACTGCAAACAAAAAACAATATTTTATATTATTTTCCTTCCCATTTAATACTTTCTATTTATAATACTAGACTAGACGGTGGAAACCGGGGCAGCTTTGTCCGCGTTCAATTCGGTATAATCACGCTTCTTTATGAACTCTTTTCAATTATGGATGAACAGTAGTTAACGTTATCAAAACCGATGCAAAAGTTTAAATGTGAAAGCGTAACCAACAGTCAGATGGAAAGATAGAGGTACTTTTGTAATTATACGAGTAATATTACCTTAGATTTGGATTAGTTCAATGTTTAACTGATGTGTGAGTAACTATTTCTGGCCTTAGGAATGTACAAGGATGTAACTATCATACAGGTTAACCCATTTATAGTGATCCAAAAGTTCAAATCTTAATGTAAAAGTAGACCTGACTAATACACAATGGCAACAACCAAACGGAGACTCAAGAAACTCTGTCTCATCTTCACAACTTAAAAATTTTGGTTCAGGAACTTCCACTACTAAAGATCAAGAATATTTATACGTTTCTTCAGCCAGCGTAACAGGTATAGAAATACAAAAAACTAAATTTCAATCGCCAAATACTCATATTGAGAATCCGAAAGAGTTAGATTATATAAAGAAACACTGGCAAAATAAAATATATGCATAATAAAAACAGAAATTTTAATCAATAGCAATTTTGAAAAAGACCCTGCAATTTTTGAAGATGCTTCAGTAATGTACCGTGATCCTGAGTGGATATCAAGGACCGATGATAGTGATACAAGTGATACAACAGATAAAGAAAATATCATAAGTGACCCAAAGGTTCAGAATATAAACAATCAATGCTACGGGAAAATAAAAAGAAGCAGAAAAAGAATAGCAGATCCATCAGAATGGAATGACATTAAAAATAAGCACAAGAGGGAGTTAGTGCAGTGAAGCTTATCAGAGGTGAGCGAAAAAGAAAGGGGAAAAGGCACTTTGAAAGAAACTTAGGACCATCATGTATTCACAACAATGTAAAAAATACGCGAATGTCAAAAGTTACGCAATTAAAAAGAGAACTAATTTTTTTTTTGGAAAAAAATGAGTTGGGACCAAAAAAAGTTCATATTTGAGCTTTAGTATTAAACACAGATCCAAAGCGACGAACTACAGGAAATGGTGTAACTTCTTGGTGGTAGATATTATTTGCTTACAGATTAAAGACGTCAGACGGAGAACTATTAAAAGTGTGTAAAAAAATGTTTCTTTCGACTTTAGCTCTCAATGAATGGATGGTAACACATTGGATAAAGAAATCTAAAGAAGAAATGGTAGAGAGCACGGTAGAGAAGAACAGAGCGTGTAAAATAGGAGCACCAACAATTAGTACTAAGAAAGAACGCTTGGAAAATTTTTTAGATTCACTGCCTAGACTGCCCGTTCATTTCAGTAGAAAATGTACATTGAAAGACTATCTCTAGCCAACTTTTAAAAATAGTATGAGTGACATATATAGAGAATACCTAAGACGGTGTAAATCTTCAAATCCACCCGAAAAGCCTATGAGTCGCTTTACTTTCGATTTAGTTGTCTAAGAAAAAATCATAGGCTTTCTACGGAGACAGATGCGACCAGTGTGTTACTTATAAAGCAGGAAATTTAGAAGAAGAAATATACCGTACCAACAGCATCAGCAAGAAAAACAAAAATCTCGCGATGAAAAGAACAAAGATAAAACTGCTGATGGCAACTCTGTTGTTCTTATTATAGACTTGCAAGCTGTTAAAATTTGTCCTAGTTTAAATGCTTCAGCATTATACTATAAAACAGAACTGTGTGTACACAACTTTACAGTATATAATATAGTAATTAACCATCATTGCCGATGTTATTGGTTTGATGAAACGGAAGCAGACTTAACGGCGAATGCGTTTGCAAGTTGTTTAATCGACTATTTATCTGACGCTTTGAATGATAACTTAGGTGGAAGAAATAATAATCATTTGGAGTGATGGGTGTACGTATCAAAACCGTAACTCTACTCTTTCTAATGAACTCAAATGGAAGACGATTCGCGTTACATGCTAACATAGAAAGAAAAATAAAGGACTTTCAAGCTTCCGAACAAAGAGGTAAAAGGCCAAATGTACCAACCTCATACTCTACTTTAAATGCAACTTTTAAGAGTTAAATTTAACTTAAAGGCTAAATCTTTTTTAATTTTATGTCAAAAATTTAATAAATGTTTTTCAGTACATAATTAGTGTTTTAATTTTAATACATTCAATCGTTATGTAAATGGTGAGATCACGTAACTTACACAAAACATTATGAATTGAACAAGTGTTACCAGTTATCACGTAACTACAATTTACTAGTCACAAAAGTAAATTATAGTATTTTGTGTAAATAGCAATAGTGATAAACTTTTAACAATCAATTAACCAAAAAAGAACGTTTTTTATTTCTCCTGAAAAGTAGACCAGTTTGCATATATCGATATTTCGATAATCCGATATTTTAAAAAATATCAACAGTCCTAGTTTGCACTGATCAGTTGGACTGACCGTGTATGTCATCCATTAGGCGGCAGACTTCGATCGCAGCTTGTATAGTATGTTAAACACTTTTTTCTCACTTAAACCAACTTGTAAACTCCTTAGATCGCTACGAACTGTCAAATTTGTTTAGCAAAGTGTAGTTTGGTAAACAAAAAAACTGGCACAGAGAAAGGGACGAATAATCACACCGCTCTGTCTCATTTCTACGCAAGACGTATGCATAAATCTATCTTTTTCGTGTGAAAGAAGGCGTCAATTTGTCTATAGGTTTCTCTGTCTACGAATAAATCATAAAACCATAGAGCAATATATTATGTAAAAATAATAAGATTTGTGGGTAATCGTAACAGCGTTATACGTTATAAAAGTTACTGCTGTATCTTAGTGGGGGTTCAGTTGTGAGTTTCCCGCCTACAAGTGAGTTGCTCTGCTAGAATCTGTTATCATTTACATTAAGTAAACAATAATATATAATTATTGTAAATCGTTGATCAAGTGAATAAAAAGTGCTACTGTGTAATCTGTTTTACTTCATATCTACTAATTAAAAATTCAGAAGTGGGATTGTACATACGATGTCCGGACCGTATATTCCAAGGATAGGAGAGCATAAGCGAAGATACGATGACACTACAAGCTCGAAAGAAGATGAATACATATTTTTCTGAAAAACAAAAATCTATGCTTGCGAAATGGCATCGTATATCTCCGATAGATGCGGAAATCATACCCAAATTCTGCCCAGACGATCAAACCGTTAACGTAACGTAACGTAACGTTACAGGATGGCTTTATAAAATTGACCAGTTAGTCTTTGGTGGGCCGTCAATTTATAATGCAATTACACCTTGCAGGATCTGCTCGGGAGTGGTATGATGACCTTGATGATTATGCCCTTACTTGGGACGGGTGGAAGGAAGCACTTCAAATTGCTTTTTTTATTAACTGGCTTTACGGTTCTGGGTTCTTGCCCTTCTGAGCCTATCATTTCTTTCGGAATCTTCATTTTTATATTATTTTACTTTATAATATGCTGATGCATCACACTGCGAATCCCTTGGGAGATTTTGACGACAGCTTAACTCAGCGAACGGTTAATGACGACAGACACTCACGTTCATAAGGCGCCCAAGCAATCAAAATAACTTGATGTTTATATCGACATCAACTTGTTTCGTCGTTTTCTCTAATAGTTCACAAGCGCGGCCACTTAATTCACAAAATCGTATCATTTTTAAGAATCAAATTCCACTTCAAACCATTATTCAAGCGACAAAACAGGAGCGACAATCTGTCTACGGCCAAGTTCCCGCCAAAACTCACTTCCAACTGCTTTTCCTCGATCTACCAACTACGTAGACAGGCTAGAAATAATGCTGGTAAGATCAAAAAGTGACGATGAAGCGATGACTAAATATTATCATGAAAATTTGTCACTCCTCCAAAAATGCAACATTAATTGTGAACATGCAATCTCCTTTATTATTCGAGGTTTACCACCTGAATTGAGAGCTAATGCTTAAGCCTACAATTGTGAAACGCCAGAACAACTATATTTCGATTATCTGTCATCAACAGAGAACGTTAAACTCAGGGATACGTCCGCGTTTACACCGAGCAACTCTTACTGGAGAAAAAATACACAAATTACTTCGGGTCGCCGTCAGCTCGTTCCCAATATCTGCTACGTGTGTCGACGACCAGAACATGAAAGGAAGGACTGCCAGCAGCGTAGCAGTGTGTGTCAGCTTCTAGCACGCAACTGCTGCATGCTGGTATGCAGCCGGGACTGCGACTCACTCTGGAATTGGTCCCATGCAGCAACAGGCTTATAAGGTAATATTGGGGAGATCCCCAAATATATAAAAAAAGAGTAATCGTTAATGGTGACCAATTGATGGCCTATATAGATACTGGAAGTAAGCGTAGCATACTTACTATTACACAAGCCAAAAAATGAAACTTAAAACTCGGCCCTCGGTCGTTGTAATGAGAGGGTGGGGTAGGGGGGTTCATATTCGCTAGGTACTTGCCGAATTATTGTAGATGTTGATGATTTATTTTTGGTAGGAAGTGCAGAGTTAACCGATTGCAAGCTACCAGGCATAGATTTAGTAATTGGACAATCAATGATAAATCAAGAAAATGTGAGCTTAGTTACGACGTCACATAGCGTAAAATCTTTTTTCAACCTCTACTTTAGGGGATATCTTGACCAATATCAGTTTTGAAATAATTGAATATGGTTCGAAATTTCCAGTCTTTACAAAATTAGAGGTCACTATACCTAGCCAAACCTATGCATACATTAGCGTAAGTGTCGATTGTAACAGTAATGCTGACAAAAATAAGCACGCATTTCTAACACATACGGTGTGTTTTCAGTTAGGTGGGTTATCGTAGTATATTCCAGAAGCGATTATTAATTCTTCGAGTATGTCATATTTAAAGGTACATTGTATATCACGGCCTGCCAATAAACTCATGGCTAGAGCGGAGATATTGTAGACCAAGTTACTAATAAGTCCGAAATTAAATTGACTAATATTAATGTGAGTGAACTAAATCATAGGGAGATAAATGAATTGCTACAGCTACTAAATGGGTATTGGCAGAGGCACGAAATACTTGGGATGAATTAACTTAACTAAATTACACATATATAAAAACTCTTTCTAACCAACCTGTGTATCGTAAATCGTACCGAGTTTCACATAAGGAAAATGAAATAATGAACAGCAAAATAAATGAACGCTTGGCAGGAATTATAAGAAAATCTACATCGGAGCGTGCTAGTCCTGTTGTCCTAGTAAATAAAAAAGGAGGGGATTTTAAGGCTTTGTAAGTACCCTCTACCTCACATAGAAGATCAAGTCACTCGTCTATCGGATAATCTTATTTTACAACATTAAACCTCGCTTAGGGATAATACCAAGTACCAATTGATGACGAGTCCATAGGGAAAACCGCGTTTATTACACAATCAGGCCTGTATGAGTTTTTAAAAATGCCTTTTGGATTATCTAATGCACCAGATGTATTTGCGCGACTAATACAAGTAACTTTAGGGGAACTATGTCACGAAATAGCTCTATATTTAGATGATGTTATGATTCCGTCTGTATCAGTAAAAAGGATATTGGAACTCTTAGAACAAGTCTTGCGTTTACTTTCAAAAGCCTATATAAAATTAAATTTAAAAAGTGGTCATTTCTTAAAAGTGCCGCTAATTATCTAGGCCATGAAATCTCTGCCGGTACAATACAGCCAGGTCGAGCTAAAATTAATTGCGTAGCTGAATATCGTCAACCCCGTAATGTACACGTAGTAAGGAAGTTTATCGGATTAACGTCTTGTTTTAGACAGTTTATAAGGATTTTTGCCCAAATAGCACAACCATTGACTGAACTTACCAAAAGGATGTAGAGTGGCATTGGGATTCTCAGCAGGAACAAGCATTTCGTACACTAAAGCAACGATTATTAGAAAGACCAGTTTTAGGCATATACGACAAGGATGCGCTGGCTTGATACAGGCATTGGAGTCTCTTTATAGGGACTCTAGTGCTTTTGTTAGGATCAACGGGGTCTACTCGGACTGGTTTGACATCCATAAAGGTGTCAGACAGGGCTTTGTGGCTTCCCTGTGGCTGTTCAACCTATTTATGGACAGTTGTTTGCAAAATTTGAAAGTTGAAGAATGCGGATTAAGAATGGGTGAGTTAACCGTCAAATACCTTTTGTACGCCGATGATCAAGTTATCCTTGCGTCGTCGGCGGTCGAGTTGCAAATGATGGTTACATTAATGAACAGATCATTAAAAGAAAGGGGTATGAAAGTAAACGCAAGTAAGACGAAGGTTATGGTTTTTGAAACAGAAGAAAGTAAAACGATTTGTGAAATAAGAATAGAAGGGGAGTTGATCGAGCAAGTTGATGAGTTTGTATATTTGGGCTGCGTATTTAGCAGGGATGGGAGATATGATAAGGATATAGAACGACGAGTGAATGCGGGAAATAGAGTAAATGGGGCCCTGCACTCTATTGTGAAGAGTCAAAATGTGTCAAAAAAGGCACGTATGGCAATTCACAATGCTGTGTTGGTCCCTACTTTAACGTATGGTAGTGAAAGTTGGGTGTGGCAGAAGAAGCACGAGAGTAGAATCAACGCAGTAGAAATGCGGTCGTTAAGGAGTATGTTAGGGCTGAATCTGAACGACAGGGTAAGAAATTGTGTAATAAGAGAAGAGTGTGGTTTGCAAGATGATGTTGTGACCAGGATTAAGAAAGGAATGATTCGGTGGTTTGGTCATGTGGAAAGAATGAATGAGGAAAGAGTGACAAAGAAAATTTATGTTGCAAAAGTGAATGGCAGAGTGAAATTGGCGATTTATTGAAAACGGGCCAAATTAGGAGTACCCTTAACCGACGAGCATGTATGCGTAGGTGTATGGATGTCAAGGAGGCGTGTCAGGATCGTGCCAAATGGAAGTCTGTAGTCTCTGCCTAACTACAAAAGCATTGGTTGGATTTAAACAGCGTAATTTCGTGGGTTGCTTAAAGCTTGTTGTGAATACTGTTCAGAAGTTCACAAACTATGTTTTGTAAAAATTTCCTACAGCTTCCTTATGAGCAAAGATACAATTTCGTTTTAAGTAACAATATTTGCTTTAATTGTTTAGGCGGAAACCATTCAATTAAACCGTGGCAAAATCCAACAAATTGTAGAGTTTGTAAGAAACGACACCATTCATTATTGCATCCCACTAGCGGTAAGGCTACTAATAGTGGTGACCAAGACAATAGAGCAAGTACATCCGTTGAAAGTTCGGATGTTGATTGTGATAAAAACCCCATAGGAAACTATCAAGTGGTGCGGGCCTTGATTGATCAAGGTTCCCAAGCTTCATTTATAACCGAAGCTACAGTTCAGTACTTACGATTAAAACGTACCCCAGTAAAAAGCTCGGTAACCGGATTAGGTGCCGACAGAGATATAGTCTCAAAGTACATAGTAACACTCGATCTTAAATCGTGTGTAGATCCTAACCTCAAACTACAGATTACAGCTTATGTTCTAAAGACTATAACGTCTTATCTTCCAGAAACCAAGATAGAGTTATCAAATTGGATGGATTTGAAAGGCTTAAAACTGGCTGATCCGGACTTTAGCACTCGTAATTAAATTAACTTATTATTAGGAGCTGACGTCTATGGTCAAATATTAAAGAGCAGTGTAAAAAAGGATCCAACGGGAGATCTTATCGCACAGTGCACAACTCTTGGTTGGATTCTTTCTGGTATTGTAGATAGAACATACTGAAACTGAAACTAAACGAAACATAATATCAGAAATTGCTCGCCTATTTGACCCTCTGGGTTGGCTAGCACCTACCGTTATACTAGCAAAAGTATTTATACAAAAGCTATGGCTTTCAGGTGTAGGATGGGATGAAAAGGTTCCTGAAGATTTAGTAAATGAATGGAGGACTTACCGTAGTGAGTTGTCCAAACTTACCGAAATTCGTATTCCAAGATGGCTTCAAATCAAGCAAACTGATCGAAGTGTTGAACTTCTTGGATTCAGTGATGCTTCAGCAAGCGCGTACTCAGCTGTGTATACAAGATCCGTCGATGCAAAAGGCGATATTCACGTTGCTCTTTTGATGGCGAAGACCAAAGTAGCTCCAATAAAACAGGTAATCATTGCTCGGTTAGAGTTATGTGAAGCTATTTTGTTGACTCGTTTGTTGGCAGAAGTAGCAGAAGCCATGCACCTTTCCAGAGAGAACATTAGAGCGTGGACAGATTCAACCGTAGTGCTTGCTTGGTTAAACAGTCACCCAAGTAGGTGGAAAACTTTTGTGGGCAATCGAGTGTCTGAAATTCCAAGTACTCTGGATGCATCACAATGGGCTCACGTTTCAACTAAACACAATCCAGCTGATTGTGCATCGAGAGGTATTAGGACAAGTGCGCTGACTGAAAGCCAATTATGGTTTTCAGGACCAAATTTTCTTATGGATCAGCAAATTAGATATCACAGACCAAGGGACATGGACACTATTATAGAAAAGCGCATAAAGGTACATATTAGTGCTGTGATAGGGCTTGCAAATATTCGAAAATGTTTGGTATTCGAATATTCGACTTTTTTCGGGTATTATTCGAATAATTAAAGAACATAACACCAGAGTACATCGGCAGAATTGGAAAGACAAAGGAATATGACAAAGTGGACGGTTTTAGGTTCGGTTAATGTCCCCTGATGTTGCAGAAATTCATGAATAGCGTGTCAGGCGTTGCCTTAGTCTTGTTGCTCAGCTTACCCCGAACAGTTTTTGTGCTAAGCAGATCCACCCCCTTCTAGGACTTCCTCTGTCAAATAGCGCCATCTGCATTCGCACTGACGTTTCTAACTCTTCTCTGTCTGATAAATTTGCTGTAGACGTCGAAGGAGTTGCAGAATTAGTGTCATTTATCACCTCTTGTAAGTCTTCTTTAAAGCTCATTTCGTTGAGCTCGTGACTCGTTTTGTTGCTGATGCTGGCGTTGCCGCTGCTGAAGTTGAACTAAGGTCATGTCATCTTCCTCATTATTAGAGTTCTGTCTGTCTTACAGAAAAATATCACTTGTTAATTTCCGTTATTACTTCTGTAATAATGTTATTGCCTGGTGAGGCGAAGGTGGCTCTGCGTAACATTAACCGGCATTTTGAAGATATTGTAACGTGCAGATTAAATTTGGTAGGCGTCTCTGAGCAATTCTATTCTTCAGAGCTTCGAGTAGTCTGTCACTGATAAAACTGTTCGCCTTTTCAAGCTGTTTTTCGCGCTGTTTTCGAACAAAGCAAATTTGCATTTTCTTCGCACAGCACCTCTATTGTTGCCTTTACAACATTCAAAGAAGTAGACAATTCCTGCAGCAAAGCCAGCTCATCTAAAAACGTGGTATCTTTAAAATAGGGTCTTTTAATGCCAAAAATCTTGTGATGATATCTGCTAAACTGCTCCACCTGGTTTTACAGTCTAAAATCAAACCCATTTTATTCTATTCTTCTTGACGATAAATATCGAGAATCTCTTTTCTGGTGGGTGACTTTGTAAAAAATTTAACTATTTTTCACACTTTCTCTATTACATTTTTAAATTTACATCCCTGTATAAATGTAGGTCTCGTCCTCTATTTAGATGTTGCTCAACTACAAATTATCCTTCTACACTATCACTGTTGGAGTCAGTATCCTCATTTGTTTCCTCTTTGTTACCTACAGATACTTCCCCTTCTTCATCTTGATCATCTTGTTTCTTTTTGTGTATAGCATCCAGCACTGCACATTGGATATCATGTGCAAAGCATAATTGATGATACGAAGGCACTTGTCGACCCATAGCACACATCACTCCTGCAGTCAATATAAATGTTCGAATATAGCAGATTTAATATTCGAATATTTGGAAAAGCTATATTATTCGAATTATTCGAATATTCGAATGCAAGGCCTAGTGCTGTGCCACAAGAATTTCCGTGGCAGAAATTTTCTTCGTTGAAAAAAATGATGAGTTATTGCCGAAGATTTTTATTAATAAAGGAAAAGAAGCAAAAATATTTACAAAAGAAAGAATTAGATAATAATAATAACAATAATAAGGGGTGTAAGGGAGTCAAACGGGGGAAAGACTCCAAGCCAACCTCATCTGCACGTGGTGCACCTTGCTGTCAACAAACGAGGCAATGGCGAACCGGCCGATGGCGGTATACTCATCTAAGCGGCTACGTAAGGCTCTTAGGCACGAGTACCTTATCGAGGCTTAGGTAGTGCAACTGGCATTAGCGTGGGATGTCAGTTTTATGGCGGCGGCGGAGGAGTATCTTGTGTACCAACGGCGGCGCCCACAGGCTCAGTTAGGAAGTCTACTGCGACTCATCACTATTGGACAAACGTGGTGGGTTATTTTTGTCCAAAACAAAATTAGATATGAGTAAAAGTAAGAAAAACATGCCTCTAGTGCCCGGCTTACGGGGCCAGATGAATCTCCGGGCGGGGATCTCTCGCAACTCATCAAACGACCAATGCTAGTCTCTTGGACTCCGATGCTTCTGAATCGATTTCTTCGTCAACAGCTACGGATGTTGTGCAGAAGGCAAGCGCTGACAATTCTACACCCGCCAAAGCTAGTAAACGTGCACGCAGGAAATGGAGTGAAAATATGAATATTTTTATACTGCGCACGTACCTTACTATCACATCTATGGAAACAAAAAACATTAGGTCATACCTTCCCAACTTCATGCAAAATGTATAGAAAAATACCGAGACATAGATGTTAGCAGACAGCGAGTAGGTGACCAACGTAGGGCAATAACTAACGGTAAATTATTAACTGCTGAACAGATTCAAGTAATACGTGAGGAAGTGAAAACCTAAAGACAATAATCGTAACAATGAGCACCCGAAAATTAATAATATAGTAACCGGTAACCAAAGAATGCATTGGGACAACGACTTAAATGAATTCATCGTAAAAAGTTTCTACAGAATTACTACTGGTGGGACTAACAAAACTGCTTACAGACGTAGGACGTCTGTAAGCAGTTTTGTTCTCATCAATCTTTTATCACCAAATTCCCACATTTTTCTCACGTATCTGAGCAACGCGTAGCAGGTCAATACAGAGCAATCATTAATAATAAACTATTAAGTGCAAGTAGACTCCAAGAATTACAGGATGAAATTGCAATAGAGATGGCTATCCAGAATAAAACAGCAAATAACGACACAGAACCTGACATATTCTTACAAGACAATTGTAGATTTGACTACATCCAACCTGCCACTGAGAATCTCGGGAAAGCCTAATCTCACCAAGCAATACACAAATTTGCCCGGATACAATTACACCCACAGATTATAATGCAGAACAAGAAGACGAAAATAATGAAATTCAGCAAAATTACAACAAACTTATTGGGGGCATACGAAATAAAATTGGTGGGGCATTTTTAAATAAATATAAAAACGTCGATCCTACAACTAGACTAACTGTCGTTTCCACATTTCTAGGAATGATATTTGATAAATTTTGTAGTTGGAAGCCTCATATAGAAAGCCTATGTACTAAAATAGATCGTTTCGTTTTTGCATTGCATAGAATAAGAAATATTGTATCAGAAAGAGCTGCACTAATGGCATATCATGGATATATCTCATCCATACTACGAAATGGTGTTCTACTCTGGGGGTATTCGGTGGATTCGGATAAAGCATTTAAAGCTTAGGATAAATTTAACAGTGGTAGAGGGTGGTAGGAGTCCCGTTTCGTCTGGTGAGTGCAGGTGGCCGGAGGCCCAATTCCCCCCCCCCCCATCAACATGGTAGCGGAATTAAATGATAGACTACCCCAGGAGGGTACCAGCACCCCTGGAGAAATCCCTCGCTGAGCATCCACGACCATGTTTCTCCACTTCTGAGCGTGGGTGCTCAGGCTGCCCCGCGTATTCTGGGGGGGGGGGGGGGGGCAATATTCCGCTCAAGACTAAAACTGCTCGGGGCAAACGCAGCAACAAGACCAAGGCGACCCCATGCCACGCTGTCCGTGAATTTCTGCAATATCAGGGGACTTCACTCTAACCTAAACGCCGTCCACTACCATCTCGAGACGGCGAGGCCGGCTCTGCTCTTTCTGACCGAGACGCAGGTGTCCTCTCCGGCTGATGTCTCGTATCTCTCCTGCCCGGGGTACAAACTGGAACACTCCTTTGTGCCTCGGGCTGGAGTTTGCGTTTACGTCAGAGAGGACATCTGTTCTCGACGCCTCGGCAGACTTGAAGGTTCGGACCTGTCCATCCTTTGGCTACGCGTAGACAGCGACGACCATCCGCGCGTCTACGGGTGCCTCTATAGGTCCCATAGCGGTAATGCCGAAACAGACCGACTCTTCGACCACGTCCAAATGGCTGCAGATTCGTTGCTACAGCAGATCCCCTCCGCAGAGATCGTGATCCTCGGCGACTTTAACGCCCATCACGCCGAATGGCTCGGTTCACGTTTAACCGATCATGCGGGGAGATCTGTTCATGATTTTGCCTTGGCATATGGTCTGACACAACTGGTTACTTCGCCTACGCGGATTCCAGATGTGGAGGATCATGCACCTTCCCTGTTGGACCTTCTGCTGACCTCTCACCCGGACGGATATCAGATTTCCGTCGACGCCCCTTTAGGCTCCTCGGACCATTGTCTTGTCCGGAGTGTGGTGCCACTCACGCTGAAATCGCGGTTGCATTCTGCAGGCTGCCGCCGTGTTGGGCACTATAGGTCAGCCGATTGGGATGGGATGCGGTCTTTCTTTGCATCCTACCCTTGGGGGCGAGTTTGCTTCTCGCCGGATGATCCCAACGTTGTTGCGGATTCTGTCGCTGATGTGGTACTTCAGGGTATGGAACTTTTTATTCCTTCCTCTGTGGTGCCCATTGGAGGCAAATCTCAGCCATGGTTTGGTCGCTCCTGTAAAATAGCATCATGCTATAAGCAGGAGTGCTACCGAGCCTGGGCTGACGCATCAGCGTCCAGGGATGTAAACACCAGCGCTCTAAAAAAGAAGTATAATTCCGCCTCTAGGTCCTTCAAAAGAGTCATTGCCAAGGCAAAGTCAGAGCACATAGGCAGAATTGGCGAGAGACTAGTTCGTCTTCCTTCTGGAACACGTGCATTCTGGTCTCTCGCCAAGGCTGTCCAGGGGAATTTCTGTCAGCCATCTCTTCCATCTCTGCACAGGGAGGACGACTCACTGGCCCACACCGCAAAGGAGAAAGCCGATCTTCTAGGCTGTTTCTTTGCGTCTAACTCGACTCTCGATGACGGGGGGAGTACGCCGCCGACCATCCCGCGGTGTGAGTGCTCCATGCCGGAAGTGCAGTTCACTCAGCGCTCGGTTCGCAAAGCTCTCCTCTCCCTGGACATCCATAAGTCGAGTGGGCCTGATGGAATCCCCCCAATTGTGCTGAGGACGTGTGCTCCAGAGTTGGCACCGGTTTTAACGCGTCTTTTCCGGTACTCCTACTCCCTAGGCGTAGTCCCAAAATCATGGAAGACGGCTTTCGTCCACCCGATCCCTAAAAAAGGCGACCGCTCAGACCCGTCCAACTACCGGCCTATCGCCATCACCTCCTTGTTCTCCAAAACAATGGAGTCCATTGTAAACTGCCAGCTCATGAGGTACCTTGAGGATCACCAGCTGATTAGTGACCGCCAATACGGTTTTCGCCGTGGTAGGTCAGCTGGTGATCTTCTGGTCTACCTAACTCACAGATGGGCGGAGGCAGTAGAGTCCAAGGGGGAGGCATTGGCCGTTAGTTTGGACATTGCGAAGGCCTTCGATCGGGTTTGGCACAAAGCGCTTCTTTCGAAGCTCCCTTCCTATGGGCTTCCCGAGAAATTGTGCGATTGGATCACCAGTTTTCTTGCAGATCGGAGCATCAAGGTCGTTGTAGACGGTGCAAGCTCCGATTGCAAGCTTATTAATGCTGGTGTTCCACAGGGCTGCGTGCTATCGCCAACGCTGTTTCTTCTGCATATCAATGATATGTTGCAAACCCGTAGCATTCATTGCTATGCAGATGACAGCACTGGTGATGCTCTTTACACCGGCCGAGCCAATATTTCTCGGGAAAACGTCTCTGAGTGCCGGGACAAACTTGTGTCTGAAGTCGAGTCTCTGCTGGACAGAGTCTTTGAGTTACTTCGGTCTTTAGGTATCATGTAAGTTGTTCCTAGTGTATTGTAGCTTGGTAATGATTCTGGTGTTTTTATAAAAGTGTTGATGTGTGACAGTAAGAGCGGATGTAAGTAAGTAAACTTTTTACACCAATAATTATGGATTTTATCGCTTCCAGTCGCTTTCCAGCTATGTGTTTTCTTAATAACTGCTTTAAATAGATTCATGTCTATTTCATCGAACATCATTTCTGATAAATCTACTAGTAATTCCCTATCTTGTTTAATCCAAACGCTTTCTCTGTGTGTTTTGGGGTTTGACCATATATTGGACCAAAATTGATGCAGCTGTTCTGTTTCAGGTATTTCTACTAATTTATTATTATCAGTAATATCATGTGCGTTTGTTAGGTTTCTGTAGAATGTTTTTACATTATTATAAAATGCTGCATTTTGTTGTTTTCTTAGAGTGGTTTCTTTATATCTACGTAGTCGGTTTGCAAGTGAACTTAGCTTTTGTTTGAGGGTGTCTAGGAAATGGGCTAGTTTCTTGTTTTCGTGTTCATGCATTGAATGTATTTTATAAGCTGCTGTAATTTTTTCTATTTCGCGTTTGAGCTTAGTGCTTGTATTGCCATTTATATATTCCGTTAGTCTTCCTATTTTAACTCTAAGATTTGAGAT